GAAGAATGTTCAATCTTTCAAAGTGGCTTGTCTAGAGGAAGAAAATTTTCAAAACGCATCGACGTGATATAGAGAGAACTTGATGTATTTCTCAATACTTGACTATTGTTACTACGCACCTATTCTCAATACTGTAATTGATTGTCATTGAGACAATAATGATGAAATGTGATATTAAGGAAGACAAAAACCCATGGCTCTTTAATTAACATGAAAATCATTTTTATGTAATTATATCTTGAATGATATTTCAATAACAATAAATATGATTGATCGATGAATATCTACAAAAATACTCGTAAAGTACTGCTTTTATGATGCATAGACAAGTTTTCTAATCAAACTATTGTGAGCAATATAAGCAGTTTATTAGAAAATGTTCCATATTTGGTAGAAAAAAAATATAAGAAATTCTTTATTCCAATAGTGTTTTAAAATTATGCAGCTCGAAAATTGTTGATCAGCCAAATCTCTAGAAAAGCGCGTCTAAATGTGCATTTGATCTGTGCTTGAAAATTATTCGTACAACAATGAAAAACCATACGTTTTCATCAAGAACCGCTGAAAAATCATTTGAAAGTAATCAGTTGCTTTGATTCTTTTCGAAATGAAGAGAAGTTCAACAATTTTTGGAATTCATCTTGCAAATCGAAAATTACTCAAACTGTCCATGTGACACAGCTACCGAAAAACTACCGCTAGTATATCGATTAGTATAATGTGCGCTATATTGCCGTTTTTTATGAAGATGTTGCATCCGAATGTATTGATTGGTAAAATATATTCTGAAACTGTTTTTTTTCTTGTTACTTTGAATTCTATCTAATTGTTGGAACTGGACATAATAACCGTTACTAGTAGCTTTTATGAGTATTTCGACATACCATTGGTGATCCGGACAAACTTTGCGCTTCATTGAACCAGATGCATCATGTTTAAGAAAAAACCCATGGCGTAAATTTCTGCGAAAAAAACGCGTTCTCAAAACGCATTTTTCCATAGTTGCGAAACGCGTTAATGCTGACCGGTTTGACGCATTTCACATCTGCTAATACGAACGCTGTGAAACGATCGTTTTTCTAAAAACGTTTCGTAGCGTTTCTCTAACTGTGGTGTCGTATATTCTAGATGAAAAAAAAATGAAAACCGTCAAGTACTTCAGGCACTTTGAGTTGCAGATACAATTAATTTACTCGCTTACATTTTTCATACACCTTTAGAGCTATAACTTAGATCAATTTTGATAAAACCAACACATAGATTCGAACACGAGAACATAAGAGTAGAAGACATTTGTACAAACCGTTCAACTAAAATACTCTAATGATATAAGTGCTTATTCTATAGTCTTTCAGAGTCTTCCGTAAACTTACTAAATTAGATTTTCAGTATCCCAAACCATTAAATTAAAAATTATCATTTCCTTGGTGCCTATACCCAATAACGAGTTTGATCTTCGCTTGGTATATTTTTTATTTGAACTTGTTTAAATTTAAATTTAAATACCCAATTGAAACGATTTTAATTAATTTAAATTGTATTTAATATTTAAACAAGTTGAATCTCTTAGATATAAATTTTAAGAAATTTAAAAATAAATTTTTTGAATTGTTTTCTTTATTTGATAGATTTTTGTATATGTAAATTCGTCATCCTTTTATCCAAAAGTATCACTAAATGCAAAGAATCTTCTTTTGTAAATCGAATATTCTTTTTATTAATAAGTTACGCTTACATTAACAAAGTACGAACTAAAATCATATTTAATAGTATTGTACACAGTATCATCAGTCACTATCAAGTAGTCCAAATATGAATTCATACCAATAATTATTCAAATTATAAATAACTCAAGATTCTTTTCTTCACAAATAAATAAACAAAGTTGTCGTACACATTATACTAGCATCAATCTTTACTAAATCTTTTCGAATTGTTCAATATTTAAAACAATGCTCGGTTGAACGTTACGAAACACGTTTTCTTTCAATAAAAACCTAATGAAATGAGTTTTCAAGGAAGAAAAAAATATTTTTCTTACACTTTGATGTTCAATATTAGTCTAACTACCAATCAGACTTATATAACAGTCTAGCAGCCTAAACATTTAGAAGAATTCGATTTTAATTTTGTGTTTGGAAAGTTTGGGTCATGATTTTCATGTTGAGAAATAGTGCAAGGAACAAAATATTCAAATCCCATTTAGTATAATTTCTAAAATAGTGCCAGAATTAACTTTGCTTAACTCATACGTTTTGTACAGATAAATTCCTGCAAGATTCTGTATGCAAAACGGATATATTTTGCATCATTTCAAATAAAAACGATGCAAAATGCGTTTGAAAAGGAAACGCGTTTCACGTTTCTCCGAATCTGTGTCTCTGGAACGCGTTACCTATCGACCGAAATGCGTTCGACATTATTTTACTTCGGAAACGCTTCGAAACGCAATCTTGGAAAAACGCGTTTCAGATCGTTTCAAAAAACGACAGCAGCAAAACGCATTCTATCGAAGTAAGAATGCTGTGAAACGCGTTCTATATTGAAAAAACGCTGCGAAACGCATGCTGCAATCTCAGAAACGCGTTACGCAGTCCGTTTCCTTGAATATTTTACTCCATGGGAAGTGCATAATAGAAAATTTTCCTGCATGCACTGATTGTTGTGAACAATACCTTCGTGAAAAAAAAGCACCGTAAAATAATATCAAAACCAAGACTTCCGTATGTGTCATCTTATTTAAAAGCCAAATAGGTAAACTTTTGTTAGTCTGACTTTCTACAGCGAGTTTAAATCAAAATTAAAATTCATATAACAGGAAATACTAAGAGTGAAACAAGCAGTTAATCATGTTCAATTGATCTAGTATTCACAGGCGAATAAATCGATCATTTTGATACATAGTATTGCTTATGTTCGTCTCATTGTTTTTCTTTTCGAATATCTTTTTGTCGTTTTTTGATCCAGAAGATAATAGTTAAAACGGTGAATATGATTATCACACCAAGATAAATAATTAACACTCCAACATTAATGGTGAAACGTGAATATGAACCAAACAGAAGATGTCGGCCACCATTCATTGCATTATACAAAGGTGTTCCGTAGCCATACAGAAAAAATCGTGGTGAAAGTTCAAGTGATATCTGGATAGCAGCACCAGAAACCATAATAACAACGAAAATGACAAGAAGAATACTGGCAAATACATCAAAGTTGGTTAGAAAAAAAGATACAATTACACTCAACAGCATGGTACTCAACCAATTGAACATTCGATACCGCATAAACAGACGAGCTGATGTGATATGAAATAGCCAAAGCACGATAAGAGAATAGATCAATGAAATTATCAACGATTGAAATACATCATTTAATATGTGATACAAGATCAAATTGACATAATGAAGTTTGCCAACTAGTAAGAAAAATGATGACATGTTACTGTTGTCTGTTTCAAAAAGCAAATAAAAAGAAGTATCTGCTCAGTGATTAGATATACTGATGCTTGATCATAGATTTGCGAGATTATGACCTCTTTTTCAAAAAATAAACTATACACAATACGTATCTTTTCTCATAAAATGACAATGGGGTAGAAGAGATGTATGAAATACTATTACCCACAACTATCCTGGTCTTTTTATTCTACTATCAATGTAACAGAAAAAGACATGAGATAAATATTTGACAACTTCAAACAAGACGGCATCGTTGTTGAAATATGCTAAATAAAACTGTTGTCAATGAAAAAGTACGCCGTAATGTTTGATTCAAAAAATTTCCATAGCTCTAGTTAAACTGATGTTACTTATGGTAAACAGGTACACAGTTAATTGGTCTAAATATAAGAATTTTTTTAGAGAAAAATCAGTGCTATTATTTGTTAAAAAAGCTCATTGAGATCTATAAAATTCATATAGAGTTGTAGTGGTTTTAGTAATTTGCAGTAAATATTTTCGTCATATATTTAAGAAAAACATTATTTTTTCGTAAAAGCTACATGCTTTTGTTGACATCATTTTTCAGTATGTATCATTATAGCCGATTGGTATTAGTCATATTTGTTGATTGTTATAGTGATTTTATAAAACTATTCACATGACAATCTTCATACTTTTATTAGAAAAGCCAAGTATTCCTTTTACAGTCAAATAGAGGATGTTAGAAGAGATAATGACAGCTTATCTTTCTAGATTATATCATTGATTCAAATTATTCAGATTGTATAGTTATAAAATTAAAAAAATGCAAATGCAGCATGAAGGGCTTTGATAATCTCATTCATTGTTATAAAATCACTATAACAATCAACAAATATGACTAATATCATTCGGCTATAATGATTCATACTAAAAACGATTTTAACAAAAGCATGTAGTTTTTACGAAAAAACAGTTTTGTTCAAAAATATGTAATGAAAAAGGTCACTACAGATTATTGAAACCACTAGAACATTGTACAACTTTTATACATTTTGATGAGTTTTTATTCAGATGGTAGCGGCGATTTTTCTCTAAGAAATTTGTAAATTTAGATGAAATAACTGTGTACCTATGCATTATAATTAATATCGATTAAAAAACTAAGTTTGAATTCTTTTAGTCACTTTTGATTTATGAATACTATTTTTTGACAGACCAGAACAGTAAATTTTCGAAAGCATAATGGTCTTATTACCTATTCGAAAATGATAGGATTGATTTTCTCAATGTTAAATCTCCGTTTTCAAAAGGAGGAAATCTTAGTAAACAAGAAGAAAAGATTAGCCTTACTTAAAGGTGTTAGGGTGCTAATAATTGAACCAACCAAAATAGTCGTCACTAAGAATAAATAAATGTAACCAACAGTTGTAGCGAATTGACCTAAATCAAGCAAAACAAACCAAATTAGATACGTGTAAAACGACACTAATCTTTTCTCATTAGCACTTTAGATCGTAAGATATCTTTATGAATAATTATCAAGATACTGGCCAAAATATGTACTAGTGTTTTTATTTAGAGAGCAAGTTTTAATTTAAATAATATTAGATTTAACATACCTACGTAAGGAAGAGCGCGGTGAAGATTATTATATTCTACAGCAAACGGATTGGTAATGAGACGTTGAAGACGTAGCGTATTCTGTAATTGCAATGTTCGATTATTATTTAAAAAAGATGTGGAGTATAAATTAGAAATAATTGTTGTACGAAGTGTTTTACTATACCGATTGTTGGCTGTCACAATGGCTGCATGAATTGGTGGTAATACAAAAATGTTTTGGGTAAATGCGTTTCGCCCCTCGTCATAGATAACAAGCACAGGAAGTGTGTTAAAAAATGGATAAGTCACCAATGTTGTAGAATTGATCAGAGCAAGTAAAGATTTATTAATAGTAGCCGTGATATTTGGTCGAAGCACTACAATGGCCCACACTTGTCCATCATCAACAGCTTGTCGAGTCTCATTCACGTTATTACCAAAGTCATCCGGATACTTAAATCGCCAATGAAGAGTCAGATTTCCAGGTGGTGTAGATCGAAAAGCATCAAGAAAGAAACTACCTGCTTGATCACCATCGAAATCGACTATAGCAACGTCTATATTCCCAGTGTATCGATTCGGATTATGTTCAGAGCCCAAATAGAATGCGCACATGATGAAGATGAATATCCAAAGTGGAACATATCCGATAATCCACTGTTGTACGAATACGATACGTAGATTAGCAATGTCTTTTCGTTGTGACCACACAGGAACAACATCGCTAGTTGCTGTCGGATCTAAGGCCAAGACGTGAGCACTATTACGATTCGATTATTGATGTTTTAGCATGGATAAAAAAAATAATGAGATTGATCTATATACATTGATAAAGAAAGAGCAATGCGTCACACTTCAGTGCATTCGCATCTCGTGTCCATACAATAAAAGAATAATGGATTGAGCGTAGTGTTTTGCGTGACTGATATTTTTGGTCACGATCACGATCACGATCACGAAAAAAGTTTCTAATCACGAACGATCACGATCACGAGCACAAAAAAAGTTTCTAATCACGCACGATCACGATCACGACGATGGAAAAAGTTCTCAATCACGCACGATCACGCGTGATCGTGATCGTGATCGTGATCGTGAAATTCGCGATCACGATAAACACTAGTTGTCATACTTTTTCTCAGCTTTTTTTAATGTACTCTTTATTAAATTATGGGTTTTCTTATTGTTTTTCTTATAAATAGGCAATGAACTATTAGATATTTTCTGGTTTAAATGTGAATATGATGTTTCTGAATAAATATTTAAGGTTTTGCAGATACTCGCTATGATTATGCTTACGAAATTTTTGCTTCAATCACGGTCACAATCACAAAGAAAATGTCTAATCACGAACGATCACGATCACGAGCACAAACAAAGTTTCTAATCACGCACGATCACGATCACGACGACGGAAAAAGTTCTCAATCACGCACGATCACGCGTGATCGTGACCGTGATCGTGATCGTGATCGTGAAATTCGCGATCACGCAAAACACTAATTGAGCGTATTTATTAACGACGATAAAGATAGATTTAGTTTTGTTTATTATTATCATTTTCGAAAGAAAAACTGTCCGTAATGCTTTCGTTTACTCAAACTGACTCATCGCTGCCACATCTCTGGTCTAAGAATGCTGGTATGGCCAAGATACGTCAAACACTTTTTATTCATACGATTCGTGTCTCTATCATTGTCTGGATGGTTATCTTTCTCATTGCACTAATTTATCTCGGTAGCGGTACAGTACATTTATCTGTTCTATTTAAATATTTTATTTGTCTCATTAAATAAAGATTTGCTCATTGTACGTATTTAAATCATATGTCACAAATTAAATATGCTAGAATTCTGTAATATTCACTATGAAACAAGTAACGTTCATCGTCAAGCGATTCACTTAGCCCTAGACTGATAGAATGCATGTACGTATGTAACAGCATAAAAAGCTACATTAAAAAAGTAATACGCAAAAATTGATCATATGACCAGTATATCTTAGGCGACCAGAAAACTTAATTTGGAGAATTCTCACTCTAATGGATGCATTTCCAATCAGCTGCAAAATAAGCATAAGATACATCCATTTTTTCTTCGATATATTCTTCCGTGAAAGTTTCGCCAGAAATTATACAAAACTTCATGTCAAGTTTAAGCTTCCAGCAAAGATACTTTTTCATAAACTTGTAACAAGTTTCAAGCATATCAGTAAGTTGATCAAAAGGGATAATCAAATAGCTTTTCGAAAAAGTTACTGACTTAATAAAATTTTACTCATAATTTTTATCCTCTGAGATTACATTACATACTTAAGATCATCTCCAGCTGTTGTAATCGTTCCTCTCGGGTATCGAAGAAGAAACTACGTTTATGCGGCGATTTGTTTGCATTCATATCGTTGTTCATTTTTCAAATAATAAATATTAGTGCATTTTTATAATTTTTATTTATGTATTGGCGCTGTTTGCACAAAAAAAAAGAATTTTATTTCGTTTATTTATATATCACATTATTAACAAGAATAAATTTTTATTATCGTATGATCATTTGTACTATAATTACCAAGTCGATTTTTTGATCATGGTGTTACTATCATCACTATTACCACGATCACTATGGCGATTTTGACCATAGTTATTATTTTTAGCCATTTGTACCATTGTTACTATGGGCAATTGTACCACAGTTACTGTGGGCATTTGAACCAAATGGTCATTTGTACCATAGTTACAACGGCCATTTTGACCATAATTAGTATTTGGTCATTTGTACCGTGGTTGCTATATGGTCACCTGTGCCATAGTTACGTGGTCGTTTGTACCAAAAAAATGACCGTTTGTGCCATAGTTACACGCTCATTTGTACCATAGTTACCTAGTTAATTTTAGTAAAAAAATGGCCGTTTGTGCCAAAAAATGGTCACTTGTGCCAAAAAAATGGTCGTTTGTGCCAAAAAAATGGCCATTTTGACCGCGTTACCGACAGACAGACAGACACAGGTGAATTTCGATTTCTAGACCCTAGCCTTTCAGTCTAGGGAATAGATAATTGATGAATACAAAAATGATTTTGAAGAAATAAAAACATTTTTACGGATAAAAATATTTTTCGATGCTTTTCTACATAGTGAATTACATTGAGTTGTAGCTATACAACATGATTATCACATCATGTCTGATTTTTCATTAGAAAATTACTCATTTGTTTAGAGAAATTTGAGTCTTATTATTAGAATATTTTTTTTCACAATAAAAAAATTTATTTCCATTTTGAACGCAGGATCCTTATAAGCGCACAGGCTCATTCGATGTGTACGTAATTGATTTGGAACATGAGACTGCAGGTCACTACTTTCTCACTGCCTTTCATCAAACTCCACCTGGTAACTTAACGCTTAACTGGATTTTCAATCAATCCTTCGACTTTCCGTCAGGTGTTGTTGACAAAATTGAAAATGGAAAAGTTTGGGCCGTTGTTTATATGAATCCAGATATTACTACTTGTGTTAATCACACCGTCGAATCGATTTTACATGGATATATAACTGACTCAACTACTTACATTCCTTCATCGGCAGTAAACATTGTTTATGACGAAGGTCGTAATGCAAACAGCATTAATGAATTCGTTTTACCTCCCATTTGAACAGCTATTGCTGCTGCTAGTGCTAACTATGCTGCTTCCATACAGTCTCATATCGATTCTTACTCAAATGCTACATTGGACAGTGTCATAATGGCTGCCCCAGGTCGAATTCACCCTGTCGAATCCGATAGAAATTCGCCGGAATTTGTCGGAATCCTAACCACAGGATTCCGACAAGTGGTTCTGGATGTCGGAAAGTGTCGGAGTTTCAGGGATTTCGCAGGATCCTGATTATTCCGACATCCGGAACCTCCTGTCGGAATCCTGTGGCTAGGACGCCGACAACTTCCGACGAGTTCCCGTCGGATCCGTTAAAATCTGGTAACTTTTCCGATATAATCCGATATAATCCGACGTAATCCGACGGTCGGATCGAATCACCTGGGTGTGCCAATGTCTCAGATTATCGTGTCGCTTATCGGCTTCACCAATGTGAATTTTCATCCTGCATTTCCCTACGGCAGATTGCTCGCCACTAGTCTTGGTTATCTCTTTCTCTGGCTTATCATGAGTGCCCTTGTTGCAGTAACCATCATTCGTTGGCAAAATCAAAATTATCGATATAGCGATAATACGCATTTTAAACAGTGCTTTTAACAGTCTCATAGCGTATCACTTATTTACAGTTTATGCGTTCTCTGGTTCGGTAACTTCACCAGCGCTGTTCCGTTTATTAAATTTTGGTTTTTTAACTGGCTTGTTGCTCTCACATTCGTATCTATAATAGCTCTTTTCACTCTCAATTTAGGAGTAATGGCTAATGTTGTACTTATACTCTTTCTTATTCTCAATTTTTCAACAGCAGGGTCGAGTTTGGCAAATGAACTTCAACATAGATTTTATCGTATTGGCTACGGCTTACCTCTCTTTCATTGTTTGAGTGGAGGTCGTCATCTGCTGTTTGACTCGCATACTAGACTCGGTGTTGATGTGGGTACCTTGATGGCATATTATATTGTGTGTATGCTATTGACAATCATCATTAGTGTAATCCGAATGCGTAAACAACAACAACTAGCTGCTAATCAAAATCGCGAGAAAATCTTGAAGGAAAGCAAGATGATCTCAACAACAGTGACGTCTATCAGCAAAAGATAAATACGTTAATATTGATAATTGTAACAAATATCAGCGTTTATGATTGTCTTGTCCCTATGTATAATTATTGACATTTCTATCAGATTCATAAATACAAAATTTGAAGTTAATTTTCCTTTTTCCGAATATTTATTTTATCTTCATTATTTTATGCGATATTTATTAATAAAATAATTAATATGATTTAAAGATGTCTATTTACTTGTTTGCAACAAAAAGAATACCGGAACTTTTTGGGAAAAGTCATATATTATTAAAGCAATGTTAACGAACTGTTCTTCTGAGACCATCTGTGAAAGTTTCATTCACCAAAGTATCCAATTGAATTTCGTTCTCATTTTATGAAGAAACTTGTCTAAGGTTTCATTTTAAGAGTGTTTCTGGAAATGTAGACTTGGAGTCAGTGCAATATTTTTTAATTCAACCGGATTGATCAGTTAAAATACATAATTGAACCTATGAAAAAAAACAGTTCATTTAACATACATCTAGTTCTATCGAGAAAAAATTTACAGCTCCTCATATACATACAATGTGATACTCATATAACTCTTGAAGCTTCTAATACTAGCAACTTCTATTTTACCCTAGTGCCTTTCATATACATAAATAAGTACTAAGAACAAAAGAAGAACTTTTAAAACTTTTGCTTGACTTTCTCAAGTAAACATATGATTTCTTTGCAGTAATTGATAAGTTTGATGCTTTCTTATTGGAAACCATTATTTAGCATAATCGAAATGTTTCCCCAATTCGTAGGACATCACTGCTGATAATAGAAAGACAAAATGAGTGACAAAGTTAATTCCTATACGAGACTTCATATTTCTAGGTTTATTCATATCTAGACATTGTCTCTATAGCATCAGA